ATATGCAACTGAGGATACGTCCCGTAATTAAGCGATACCTGGAATGCCTTCGCGCTTTTTGTAGCCAGATTCGATCTCTCAGAGAGTGTACTACTTACGACGCTCAGGCGCAAGGAAAGCGTGATTTGTGAACAATCAGAACTTCGCGATTCATCAATGTTCACACTACAACGGCTTGCATGCCTCATTGCCACGATTTTGTTGCCTGCAGCGTCGTAAGATGCGCTCTTCACGGGGCCATAGACTCCCACTGACTGCTCGTATTCATGAGCTTTTTTGTCATTTTGTTGAATACTTTTTTTCGGAGGAGGAGCACGTAAGCAAAATCATTCCACCTTGCAAGATAAGATTCTTTATGGTTCTGTTTCAATTCACCAATGGCGCAAATGAGTGGATGCAGGTCATCGACTACCGTAATCCTAGATTTGCACGGGTAGCTCGCGAGAGCAAAGCGAAACTTTCCATTCTATGATATTTTGTTCCTTTCCTTTTTTTTCTGGTGTTGTATGACATTTACTGTGGGCGAGGAATCGCGTTTTGCGCCAGAAGTTTTTGAGGGACGATAGGGTATCAGTTTGCTGATAACAAGGCAGCAAGTCCGAGAATATCTCGCGAGACTACCAAAAGGGTCTTTGTATAGAGCGTTTTCAGTGGGTATTTCTCATTTTTCGCTGAGTAACCGCAGTGCAACTGCAAGTTTATAGCTGAAAACTCAAACCCACGATGTGTGCGTTTGAGTTTCAGTTATACTGAGGTACTTACTCATCGGACTTATGTTTGTGGTCTCTGCTTATACCCGAGGTTTCTTTGAATAGTTTGCCGACAATAAATTGTAAATCATACTGACAAACAGTTCCCTTGCCTCCGTGGATGCTGGTTCGCAGTGTGCGAGGTGAGTGGGCTTGCATCTAAAGTAGTTTTCCTTTCCCCCCCCCCCTTCAGAAAAGTACAGGAATGGTACAGGAGGGGGGTGTGCTCATCCAGACAGACCTTTTCCGTTTCTCCTTTAGAGAGTCGCACCGCGAAGGCAGAACAGATATCAAGGTTTAAAACAAGTCTCGTGATCTATGTCCCATTACAGAAGGCCAATTCGACCATCCTAGTTTGTATTTATCCCCAGTGTGCTCATACAGGGGGGGGGGCAAAAAAAAGTCATTCCGGCCGAGTCACATATGAGCGAAGTTTTCGCAGCCCAGACAGAGGAAGTGGATATGAGTACCAGGGCGGAAGATACCCAAGATCTTCCTCTATAAGCAGGAGCCGGCTGCCGCCATTCACCTTCATGTACACCAAAATATGATCTCCAGTCGCGGCCTGAGTGGAGAACGCCTTTGGAATTCACGTGGCCTCCAAACAGCTGCGGAACTTCTTGAATGGAATCACCCATGGATAGCTACCTGGAGACCAGTACTCTTGATCTGCAAGACCTCAAACATCGAGCAGCTCCGGCAACGTCGCTACGGTCCAGGACATCATCTTCACCCCATTCACCAAGGCGCGGGTTGATGGTGTGGACCTGGAATGGATGAACCGATATTTTCTTCGTGGGCCCCAGACTGAGGGTGTGCGCTGGTGGCTACATCGAGCAACTCGAGGAGAATATCCCATCTTCATGTCGTCGCCCGTACCTTCTTGGAAACTTTGTACTGCTACAGGATTGGGTGACAACACATTTAATCGAAGGGCGTTGGAAAAACTTTCGCCTACTTGGAATGGAAGAACGTTGAGTACCTGGAAAAGATGGAGTATTTAAGCGGGGGTCCTGAACTAAACCCCCTCAATTACTCGGTTCGGGCGGAGCTCAACAGGGTGGGTGGCGGAGAAATCAACGATCTCGCTCAACTCCGGTACCCACTCACTTTCGCGCGGCCGAATCTCTCGATGGCGCTCCTCCAGAAGGCTGTGGCGGAGTATCATTATAGTATTTAATGTGCTCTTTAATATGGTAGTAAAAATGTCCGATAAAAATTTAATAAAGTGTAACTTATAGCGCCTTGAAAGTCATGGAGGCAAAATGACTTTTTTTTGCCCCCCCCCTGTATATCAATGCCATCAAGTGCAAAGGAGATAAATTCAGTACGTAATGTCGGTTCTATGTCAGAATTTATACATCGCGCCCACATTCTCTGAATACACATGTATGTCTTCTTCTTCTTCTTCAGCGTTTGTCCCGCTCGATGGCGGGTCCGCTCTTTCTGATATAACTACGCCACTTTTCCCGATTGAATGCCTGATCGGGGTGAATGCCGGCTATTTTCAAGTCGGTATGCAGCGTGTCGAGCCAGCGCTGTTTGGGACGCCCCTTTGGCCGCTTTCCTGGTACCTCGAGTTCGAGAGCAGTTTTACGGACGGTGTCAGCCTTCGCGCGAAGTACGTGCCCGTACCATCGAAGGCGCGTTTCATTCTGCTATGGGGGCTACACCATACTTCTTGCGCACGACATCGTTACAAATGCGGTCCGATCGCGTGACGCCCGCCGTCCAGCGCAGCATCTTCATCTCCATCACACCAAGGCGAGCCTCAACTTCTTTGGTCGCGGGCCAGCACTCGGCACCATATAACGCGACAGGTCGGACGACAGTACGATAGATCTTTGACTTGAAACGCTCTGGCATTTTCTTGTCGCAAAGGATCCCAGACATGGATCGCCATTTAGACCACGCCGCACTCACTCGTGCGCTCACTTCCGAGTTCAGACTGCCATCGGACGCAAGTGCTGATCCGAGATACTTGAATGTTTCCGTGCGCTTGAGCACCGTGTCATCGATCTTAATGGAGCCCGGCTCATTTGGGTCGGTTGTCAGGTACTCGGTCTTGTTGACGTTCAACCTGAGTCCAAACTTCGCCAGACGCTCGGCCCAAGCTTGCACCTGCTGTTCCAGTGCGCTCTTATCTTCACAAGCAAGCATCACATCATCAGCGTAAAGCAGGGTCCAAGGCACTTCCTTCTGAAGATCTCGTGAGATGGCATCCATGACGGCAACGAAAAGAAGTGGGGAGAGCGCAGAGCCTTGATGTACCCCGACGGTGATGGGGAACTCCATTGAGACACCCGCTGGTGAGCGAACTTGGCTCCCTTGAGTAAAGGATGCGCACCCACTCAATTAGCTCTTCGGGCACGCCGTGCCGCCTCAAAGCGTACCATATAACATCACGCGGCACACGATCGAATGCCTTCTCCAGGTCTAAGAAAGCTACATGCACGGGCTTTCGCTTCTCACGGTGTTTCTCCAGCAATAGGCGAGCGGCATGTATGGCGTCGACGGTGCTACAACCCCACGAAGCCACACTGATTGGTGGAAAGCTGGACGATATCACGAACGCGGGCGTCAACAATTCGCTCAAAGATTTTCATAGTGTGCGAGAGAAGGCGAATTGGACGGTAGTTCGAGCAATCTGCCGGGCTGCCCTTCTTCTTCCAAATCGGGATCGTCACGCTCTGCTGCCAGTCCTTGGGCACCTTCTTCTCTTCGACGATCTGGTTGAAGAGTTTCGTCAACCAACCCGCAGAAAACCAGCGTTGTGACTTCCACAAATCAGCTGCTATGTCGTCGGGGCCTGTTACTTTGCCGGCCTTCATCTTCCTCAGAGCAGCTTCTGTTTCCTGTACGGTGATCTTCTGAACGGGACCATATGTTGGTGCGGTACAGGGTATAGCGGGATGGGCGAATTCCACCGTTGAGATGCCCTCGAAATATTCACGCCATCGTTGCAATACCCTTTTTCGGTCCATCAGAAGGTGGCCATTCTCATCACTTATGCCAAAAAACTTCTCAATGTCTTCGGTTTGGCGATGACGAGATTTGGCAAGTCCGTACAGGTACCGCTCACGGTGAGCGGCCTTCACAGCAGCCACGGCCGTCTTTGCCGCATTCCTCGCTTCCCGATACTGCCGCCAGTTGTCAGCCGACTTGTGCTCGAGAAACGCGTGATAGAGCCTCTTCTTTTCTCGAACCTTCGCTTTGACGTCGTCCGTCCAGAGCCATGCCTCTTTGTCAATCCTCCGCCGTCCAGGCTTCGTTGTGCCGAGTTCGGAGCGGGCGGCCTGGATTATAGAATTAACGGCTTCGTTCCAGGTCTCCTGAACAGTTGTGACTTCAGGTAGTCGAATACGAGAAATCACAGCTGCCTCCCGCTCTTTCAGTCGCCATTTTATTCTTTCAGGACCGCATCGTTCTGCCTGCCTCGGTCTGGGAGCTACAAGTCTGAGCGCGCAGGTCAGTGGACGGTGCTGCGTGGCTCGCTAGCCTAGACGGGAATCGATATAGGTTCCCGTCCAGGTTAACCGAGCCTTTGAGTAGAGGCGAGTCTACACTCTGAGTACAGTACAGTACGGTTACGGTTTGACTCCCCCAGTCGCGCGCGTGGTAAGTGCGCCACTCGATATTACATCTCCTCCGCCTCAGATCTTATAGTCTAACATCAGTGCGCTGGGAATGCAACGATAGGCCCACGCGACGTCGCGCTCGACAACTGCAAGTGGCGCCCCAGTAACGATCGGCGATATGGTTTTGTTATTGCGAGAGTGACACTTCGCTGTTCTCTGAATGATTGTATTTCTTTGAATGATTTCGAATTTCAAATAATTTGGTTGTGAATGATTTCGAATTTCAAATAATTTGGGGTCCGCTGACAAGCTTAGTCAACTCGCAAGCAAAATCTTTTTAGGTTTCTCTGCACTACAATTGCTATATGTAATGAATCTAGTCACGCAATTGGAACAAAATCTAACGGTCATGCCGACCTAGGTCCCACCAGAGTGAAGAACGTGGCTGAAAACTGAAGGTAATCCAGTTCAATGAGGCAATGGTTTTATCGCGAGTGTGCGCTTCATCGCAAGCTCGCGGTGTTTGCAGATTGCCGTGTACGCGATGTCGCGTGGTCTAAAGACCGTGTTCCAGGACATTATAGCAATTAGATATCAATATCAGAACTGTGAATCGACTTGTGTTATAGATGTGTTATAGAATTTATAGACATTTTTTCAGCAGCGTCCTAGGATGGTCGGGGGCTACGATCCAGTAATGCTCCCGCTGCCGTTTTTCTTCTTTACCGCTTCAACTATAGGGATCATTGGAAATTCCATTATGATTATAGCAACGTACAAAGCAAAGTAAGTTCATGAGAGTTTGTGGCAGTTCATGGGCTTATTGATAGTCGGACAAGCCTAGAAATTATAGCACCGCAGACAATTCATCAAGCACTTCAGGCGAATGAAATCTCCATGCCATATAATGATTGCATTGACGTGTGCGGCAGATCTGGTCCATGAAGTCGGACAGTATCCTTTTGTGTATCACTTTCTCCGACAAGGTATGCTTATTTCATTGGTGCTGGACACGGTGGTGCAGTACTCCATAAGTACAGTAATCCTGACTCTGCACTGAAAACTCCCTTCAAGGACAGTTCCTGCGATCAAGTGCTACGAGTAGTAGGTGCTCAGTCGTGAACCGGTAGACTGAAAGTAGCTCCATAGTAGAGAAAAAAGCGAAGAAACCTCGGAAACACCCTGAGCAGAGACCTCCCCAGCAAGGCCAGCGCCTTCGCAGTGGAAGCCTATCTGAAGGATTCGATGTGCTACCTATTCCCGGCAAGAGCACTGGAAATCACATTACGACGCTCCAGGCAACGCTATGTTCACGCGCACCGTTTGTAAACCGCTTGTCTTGCAGAGTGAAAGTAGTCGTGGTTGCAAACGTTGGAATAATCATCCGTTTCAAGTCTCTTCATTTCGCCGCTCCTAGTGACGAAAGTGGTACATTCTTTGCGAATGCCGACTATGATCACCAACTGCACGGGGACATTTCGCGGACCATTCGGTCGCCTCAACTGTCTTCGAGCTGCGGAAGGTTGCAGGCTTTGTTTCAGTACTATTTTTCTTTCTTCCTTTCTCTTTCTTTCTTGACGTTCGGACAACATTTAGAGGTGGAATGTGGGCCAGTAGGTAGGCATTTATGGGAAGGGTTCAGAGAAAGGGACCCAATGGGACAATTCTTTTGTGAAAAAGGGTTCCCTTGAGTTCCATAAGAAATGTTTCACCCTAGCCAAAACATCCTTCTAAACATCCTTCCACCCCACTGAAGAGCTTGGGGGTTGGCGAGACATTGATGGTTCGTAGTGCTAACAGGCGAAACGGATCATCTCTGCTTGGTAGTGCTTTCTTTCCACAATATTTAGCTTCTCTTTGTTTCTAGTTCGACAGAAATCCTCACGACATCCTGATCTCGCTTATGTGGGCATTCGGGTATTGCATTTATTATTCATTTATGGCACCCGAAAGAAAATATTAGTAGTGCTCCTTGGAGGCAATCAGTGATGTGTACCAAAATGGCCCAAGAGTACAAATTAGTATCTTGAGATTTGGTCAAAGTGCTGAGTTTTTAACGGCATGGAACTAGTTCCTTTTCAGAAACTATGGACCAATCGAATTGTTTTTGGCTCCAGGTGATCCCAATGTTTGGAGCCTGTGTTGGAAGCCCTTTTATATTATGTCTCGGTTTAGACCGCTTCGCTGCAGTAAAACTCCCTTCCAGGTGAGCTTTCTATTAGGTGTATTTTCCTCTCAGATTCCAATAATTCAGGAGTCTCAGGCGTAGTGTTGGTACTCGTATAGCATGAGAAGAATTTGAAAAGCTCTCGCAAAATAAGGAGAAGGGCAACGCATCCTGATTCCTGATAAGAGTTGCTCCAAACATTGATTTCCACTCTCCCAGACGGACCACATATCCAGCTGAAGCTCTCAACGAAGGGGTCGTGTATTTGAAATGCGGAAAGTGTGTCCGATTCCAAATACAAGCTCCTATTTAGCCTCTTTAGGTCGTTTTCATCTTGGGGAAAGTGTAAAATGGTTTCAGGAAAGTTTGAGACCTCCATTTTGATCTTCTGTATATGAAACCCGGTCGTTAAGCTCCCTTTCTGAGACTCTACGCCACGGCGGACTTCGGAGGGCATCTGTGGTGCTGTGTGGGGAATGGTCGTAGTAAGGCAGCGTTCACAAGGGAGGTTCTCTCAGGTCGTGGCGCGCTTTTTCGGAAATGATTGTTGCTTGTTGAAGGGGCATATAAGGAGTCAATAATCGGTTTTCGTTTTTTTGGGGCTAGCGCTTCTGTAGGCTCAATAAACCTGAAGTGCAAACTTTGCGGGAAGAAGCGATTTGGAACCATTTTCGGCGAGGCTTTTTTCTTATTCTAATGTAGTATGCCTCGAGCATGAGCCTTCGTCGAGCACATGCATCGAACAATACAATTCAAGGTAAAAAGTACTTATTTGGGTCAGGCATAGTGAGGGGGCAGCATTGTAAGTTTCTCAGAGATTGACAGCAAGCATCACCCACGCAGCTGGGCGTGAGGGGGTGGTCAAAGCATGTTGCGTCAAATTAGAACCCAATTTAAGGTACAGAACCGTCGATCAGGCATTAAACAACGCTTCTATATAAAGACTTTCAGCAAAAATTTTCTCCTCGAGATGAGCGCTTAACAGCCCCTGCGTGCGGGTTGGCAACATGGAAGAATGCTCTTGCAGCAAGTCGGCGCTAGGCTGCGCCGTGGTCAAAAATGGGTGGGGGTGTCGTACTCAACAACGAAAAACGTATATATCCACGAACACCTGCAAGAGTTAGTACAACACCAGAGAGCATCCCTCCCCGGAAACCTTCACGCCGACGCACCGCCGCGCACCGCCTAACCCACCCCTCCCGCCATCCCCCGACCACACACAGCGAGCGCTCGCGAGACACTCGCTCAACCCAAGTAACTTCGGTATTACTCCCCTCCGTCCACTTTCTTATTGGCTTTACTTTGCTATCTTTTCAATACATAGTGAAGGGACACCTCATGAATTATGCACTGTCAAAGTTACAGCTACAACAGAGCCCATTAACACGGTTAAAATCGCGATTTCTCTTCGTCAAATTGTTTTTCACTCAGTTTTTGACCTCCCAGAAACGCATAGCAAAAATGAAACCCATTTTTGTAAACCTTGCATGGACCCCTACAACAAGCAACAAACCATTTTTAAAAAACGCGCCACGACCTCAAAGACCTCCCTTGTAGATCAACGCGCTGTATAGTGCAGCAACGCGCGATAAAGCAGAGCAATTACAGCAGTGCTCTAAAGCTATAAACGCGAACGCAGACGCAGACGTGCGGCGCCGATCGATTCGCGTCCGTGAAAGCTCGACAGATGGGCGACGGTCCGAGTATCAAGAGAGTATGAGTAAAGAGGCGGGATTTGAGACGCAATCGGCTGGCGCCCTTTGATCTAGCCTCCGCGGACAGGCCGGCCGTCTGCGGCTGCATTCGCGCTTATAGCCTTGGAGCACTGTTGTAGTTGCTGCGCTTCAACGCGCGTTGCTGCGCTCTACAGCGCGTCGAGTCTGAACGCTGCCTAGTGCGGTAGTTTTGATCTGGCTCAGCGACCGAGAGCTGAAACTTGCCCCAACTTTGCAACTTTACACCTGTATTATTGCTCGAGTATGGGGAAGGAGGTGAGATTCGAGACACAAACGAGTGAAATTGACTGTTTGAGGGTTTATGCTCAAAAAGCAGAATGTCATTTGAAATAATCTTTCCAGATATCGCTTCCTGCAAACGATACCATATCGATATGTGGTGTGTTCTTTACTAGGGCCTACAGTGTATGGGTTATTTCTGCTCGTGCAAGGGTTTTTGCATAAAGATCACTCGTAAGTCTTTGAAGTAGTTCTTTGTTAGATAACTGCTGTTTTACGTGCCTTCGGCCTCGCGGTTCCATGCCGATATCTAACGATTACGGCTGACCGGCTCACCAAGTTAAACGTGTGAGTGCTGTAAGGCTACGGCATAAGCCGTTAAGCTGAGAGGGTAAAATAGGCCCTGGTGGCGTAACGGATAGCGCACTCGCCCGGAAAGCGTGAGGTGCGGGACCCCCGATCGATAGCTGGGTGATCCGACTGTTTAAAGACAGCTCCCGCGATAAAAGTGTCATGGATAGTTGCTTTTCAATTATGATATAAAACAGTAGCTGATAAGTAATCCCCAGAAGAAGAAAAAAAAAGCAAGAAGAGTTCTCAAAAACGCCATAAACAAAATGGCTCTTCACAGTCATACCTCCCTGCGGTCTCTGTGCAGCCCTAGCTCACAAATCTCTCTATCACATCTCGCAGTAGTTGATATCATCCAGTGCAAAAAAAGAATACAAAAAAACAACAAAAACGCAGAGGAAAAACTCTTGGAAGGAAAAAGAAATTTTAAAAACTCGGTGTCCGAATTTGGGATTACGGTAGCCCACATTTTAGTGTAGTGAAATGCGCCGAGATTTTGCACCACGAAAATTGCGTTACTCGTGATTTTTACGCGTATTACCTTGCGAAATGGGTTGAGTTGAATGTATATGCCTCTACTGAATAAAATGTAATGGAGGAAAGCAGAATTATCCATGGGAACGAGCGCGATCAGCAAAAAGGACATGCAATTCCGATTAATGCCCGCCGCCCCAACTAAGAACAACTAAATGGCCCTTCATCGGAGGGCTTGTAGCAAGTAAGGCGGTCCAACTGAGCGAGAGCCGGTTAGAAACTACAATTTTCAGGCGGCTGCAGCTGCGCATCTGCTCGCTTGCTGTGGAAGAGTGGGACAGTCTCCAGCTTGGGGGCTGTACTACTTGCACAAGGGAGGACGACCATGTACTACTCAGGCGCGAGGGCTGTCTTTAAGGTCAAAGGAAAGTTCTGCGCTTATAACCAACTTCTTTGAGATGCGGCACGCATTCTACTTCCATCCAAAATCGTTGTAGTGCATTGAGTGGGATATGGCTTATATAATGACTTGTGAGGGCCTGTCTATGTGCAATTCCCTCCCAGCGAGTCGTTTACCAAATTTACAAGCTTCGACGAACAAGCGGGTTGGCTTGAGGGAAGTCGATTTGAGATCGACCCCCAGACCGCGCTTGCGGTGAGCGTGCCGCTGACCTCTACACCACCACCGTCTCAATTAAGGTGTAGTAGTTATGAACTGAAATTCGCATACTGGGATCTATTTGATTTAGTCGCGTTGTCTGCTCGATTCCTCAAAGTTATGGAGTGGTAGCGTTCGACCTGTTGAATCGAATTGGAATTGCCGTGAATGTCGCAATTGTTGTGGTATATGCCTTGACATTTTACGTGCTCAGAAGAAGCGCAGCTAGTGAGTCTTTTCTAGTTTTGTATGAAAATGAAAAGAACCACAGAATCAACACATTTTTCCACTCTTCCACTTGGCTGCACCACTCAGCACGATGAATTTTATTAGAGAAGTCCTCATAGTGCTCTGATGAACATTTCCTTGCGCAAAGTCATCTCATGCGTTGGAAAACAAGCTGCCGCTGTTTATTCTGAGTTTCCTCTATGAAGAGACTTGAAGTTTTACAGCAGTCGCAGCATAGTATCTTTCATTGAACATTGTAAGCATTTTCCGTCATTGTCCACAATCTGCTCTCACCTCTTCACAAACTTGTTCGTGACTTTTCACCAAACATTGCCTAGTCAGAATCTGAAGAACTGATTAAGCCAGTTTTCAAAGCCTTCGCCGAGAACAAGACAGCCCATACGAATGACAAGATGGTAAGAAATTCAATAGCGAAGGAGAAACCATAGAGGCCATCCTCAATGTCCCTCTCGATCCGAACATACCCAGTTCTGTGCTCGGGCATGTAACTGCCACTTGCCGGTATTACAACGATAGCAGCTCTCTTTTTATTACTACTACTTGGAACGGAGCTCTGAGCTTGCGAAGCTATGCAAAGGAGCGATAAAGGAAGACCTCAAGGAGAGAAGAGCAGCAGTATTGGTGGAAGCCGCAGAGGCTGGGAAGAGCATACGCAACGCCCCCGCCGCGACTTCGCCAACTGTAAGACCAAGATGACCGCCCTCCGACGTCCGGATGGAACAATCACCGCATCCAGAAGGGCAATGGAGAAGGTCATCCACGACTTCTCTTCTTTTTTTCTTTTTTTTTTTTTTTGTTTAGCTTTTTTTTGTTGTTTTTTCTTTCTACTTGGATCTCTGATGACAGCCACGTTCACCTGCAACCATACCGGTTAGAGGCAGGATGGATATGTCGTTCCTGCAGTTCTCTCTTCCGAAGTCCGACACGCCATCTCGTCGGTGAAGAATCGTACGGCACCCGGTCCCGACAGGATCAGACCCGAACATCTGAAGAATCTTCCGCCAGTTCTCGTCAAAACTCTGGCTCGACTCTTCACGCGCTACCTGTCGGAATGCAAGGTACCCACCTCGTGGAAAACCAGCAAGACTGTGTTGCTGTACAAGAAGGGAGACCTGTACGACATTGGCAATTATCGCCCAATCTGCCTGCTGTCTGTAGTCTACAAACTCTTCACACGAGTCATCCTTAACAGGATTGGCAGAACACTAGACGAAGGACAGCCATGCGAGCAAGCAGGGTTTCGAAGAGGATTCAGCACGATCGATCACATCCACACGGTAACGAAGCTCATCGAAGTATCGCGAGAGTACAAGATGCCGCTATGTCTCACGTTCATCGACTTGAAGAAGGCCTTCGACTCCTCAAAATAGTGCTGTCCCGGAGCCTCATTGCAATCTGAATGTTAAACACATGAAAGAGGCGCCAAAATTTATTGCG